GGACAATGAGGACAATAACGATGTCGCTATCCCGACCTTTTGTCCATTGGCCTGGGCAAATTTTTATATAGTTTACCATATTGTTGGGCTACTGGGCTACGTTTTGTTGCTTGGCCTGCAAATATTTTGAGAGGAATGAGGCCAAAAGGCAAAGTCCTGGCCCCAGCATAATTTCGAGTGCAAGAAGGGAGCCAAACCATGACAAACAAGTCCGCCAGATGCTGTGACTCAATTCGAGTGGCCCGCTGTCCAAATGAGACACATGTATATATTTGTTTCGCCCTTTATATACATGCAATTTGGGGCGTGGCCACACTTTGATTGTCTTCATTTAGTTAGGTTTTATGCTGATTTACTTAGGCCACAGACAGCAAACGTTTACGACCTTTTAACGCCCGTCACGATAAAATCTGAACGCCGATGCTCCTCGTACCCGTACTCATCGTCCATAAACCCTGGCCAAAACCATAAACCGGGGCTCAGACAATGGCTGCAGAAGGTCTGGAGAGCGATTTGCCATTGATTCCCCCGTTGAAATCCCATCGAAAAGTGCACTGGCTCACATTTTCGGTGATTTAAATTAATTTCGAATATCATTTCTCACTTGCGGCGCACAAATCGACCCTGACCTGCGGCACAGGAGAGTTGCGGTGCCGGGTGCTCGGCTAATGAATATTTGAAATGCCGCACGTCCCACAAGCACATAGAAAATATATGGACCCTTTTCAACCGGTTGCCGTGGCAGCGCATTAAATGAAATTTGCAGCAGGGAGAAGAAGTCTCCATGGACTAAAAAAAAAAAGTGAATTTTATTTGGGCCCTTGCATTAAGTGACATAAAAGTCCCAAGTCCCAAATATAACAAGGTATTCCTGAGCTAATTTCCCGCAAATCTGTGCACGTTTGATAACTTTATTTGTGTTTTCCAATCCACTGACCTAGCTAGCAGACAAGCGCGCCTTTAAAGTAATTAAATTTCCGTGGTATTACGCATACGCCACATGTTACATTCCTGTCTGTGTGCGTTTGATTGTGCGGCTTGTAACCAGGCCATGTCGGCGCCTGCTGGGTTGCAAGGGCAGCAGTCTCGGGTCTGGTCCTCGGTCCTCGGTCTCTGTTTCCTTTCCCATTTCCCCCATCGTCATTCCCATCGCCATCATCTCATCTCATCTCATCTGGCTTGGGTGGGTTTGGGGCCCGGCCTGAACGAGTCTGGTCTCATATCAACAATGTTGCTAAGCTGCCAGCATCAGCTACTCCCAGCCGCAGCGGTTTCAGCGTTGAAATAGCAGAAATTTTGATTTTACGACCTTGTTGCCGTCATTAACGTTATTTTATGATGACGCTGATACGACCGCGAAATATTGTGCGCCATGGCAGGCAGTCAGGATCTCCCCCGAACCGAAACGGATGCTGAAGGACCTGCAGCCTGTGTGTGAATGTTTGGGCCAAGATATTATGTCCCGGCGTCTAAGTAAAAAACCAATAAATGTTAATGAAAATACAAGAGACAAAGTTTAGTTGGGCCAAAAGGGAATCGCTTTGGCTGCATGAGGCATCGAACGAACATAAGCTGATAATATTATTGCGCTATTAATGGGCTCAGGTTTTATGGCTGTTTTAATCGCTTTTGTTACAGTTGCCAAAGTCGCAACAATAACTTGACAATAGACCACAATAAAAGGAATATGGCTTGCGTGTGTGTGGGTTCCCCCTCCGCCCTTCCCTCTCTCGATGTTGCTTTCGCTTTTGTATGACTAAGCAGCAGCCATTGCAACTTTTTGCCATTGGCCCCGGGGCGAAAACTAATTGCAAAACCAAACGCACATCCCAAGTAGCTACCGATCCCGCTTCCGTTGGCCCCCTTTTTGCACCGCATCTTCTGACTCGGTGGAAAGGTGTGCGGCGACTGCTGCTGCAAGCTGAAAAGCAATTTAGCAAATTCCTTGGTGTTTGGCAAATAGAAAAGCCAACTTCCAACGGTTCTCGGTCTTTTCTTTCGGCTCTCTCCCCCTGCAGCATCCTTCTGCAAAATCAATTTTAATGATACCGAACTGCCAGGCAACCTCAATGGAAAGGAAGCGAAGCGAGTGGCGGCAAGTAAATGGCAAATGGCACCTCTATAAAATGGTTATCCCCTAACTCATCTTGGCCTCGATTGCAGCATATGCAGTCTACAGTGGGTCGATCTTTGGCATTTTCTAATTTCTACTTTCAAGCTGAAGTTGACCAAAAATAGCTTTATATCAACAGCAGTTATTAAGTAAACATTATATGTGAATATTTAATGTATAATTTCCAAAACATTAAAACATTATAATATCATATTTTCACTATTAGTTAATTGTAGTGAAAAAATTATACATTTTTTAATATTTTTAATATTTTAAGGAAATAAACTTGCAACCAGATTACCATTCTTAATATGTTTTTTGAAAACCCCTTATTTTGGTCATTGTACCTAATCGAAAATGTCCTTTACCCTTAAGCTATTTATGCAATTTATTGAAATTCCTTTTTACTTCGATAAAAAATAAAACCTAATGCCTGGCACATAGGCAATAATTTCATCTACAAGCACATTCCTACAACCCTATCATTATTTTTTAGAAAAAGTAGTTACAGAGCGGGTCCCCCAAAAGGCTAAAGCACCTACAATCTAATAATTTGCTGGAAATATAGTTTTAGGGCGAGTCCCCTAAAAGGGAAAGAATGAACGCCTGGTAAAGTCTGGGGACATCTCATATCATATTTAATGCGTATGTGTGCCGAGTCCCTTTCTTTTTAAGTATTTCCTTTGAGGGCGGCAAGTCCCTCAACTAAGTTGTTATACAGTTGCGTGCACCTGTCTCTAGCCATTTCCAGGTGCAACCAGATGGCATTTCTTTGGCTGCCTTTGGCCCCAGCGAGAGTGCGCTGGCTTGTCGCAATTAACGTTCGCGGAAATTCCTGCCAGCCAGGATCAGCGGGTCGGAAGGAGCTAGAGGTGGTGGTGGAGGTGAAAGGGGAGGGGGAGAGGCCAACGCATTGGGGCGTGAACAGCACGGAAGTCGTTCGGCCCACTCGGCGGATACGTGCTTTAAGGTCTGACCTTCTTTATGTGCGAGCTCGTGTGAGAGTGTCGCTAAGTGTCTGCTGCAAATTGTTGCATGACATTGTTCCATGTCACAAGCCACCACATCCCATTCCTGCCGTTTGATGGCATTTAGTGAAGAGGGCTGGCCCTTTTTATTCAACTTTCTTTCGCAGTGACAACTTGCGGCCTACTTGCCATTCGCGTGTGCCATATGCCGCGGAGCCGAAGTCGGGGAGTCGCAGCAAAACAATTGCTGCCATTACAGTTTGTAATTCGGTAATCAGCCATACGAATCTGCATAATGGCAATCGGAGCGGGCTCCACTTTCGTCCTCGCCAAGTTAGGTAAACATGGCAAGAAAAGTTGCCAACTTTTAATTGAAGTGAAAACGACGATAACGACAGCATTGTTGGGAGTCTGGGAATACTGGCAGATCCGAGGGATCCGCACGGTATTGGGCATGCTAGCTTTGTTGCCAGCCCGCTGGGAAATGGAATACGAATGTGTGTGGTGGGCGGATGGCGGAGGGCTACATATGCTATGTGCGGCGGCATTGCAAAAACAGTTGCGGAATTGCTTTTTAAACCCACAGAGCGGCGCATAAAAAACCAGCACAGCCCCTCTCTGGGGGCGTGGCCCAAAAGGGTTGGGAGTTAAGCCTTTAAAACGTGAAACTTTTGAGCCGCTTCAAGTTTTAGCCAAGCGTATTTGCCTTTGTGGTCGCTCCGTTCCCAGCTGACATGCAGGCAAATATCCAACCCGATCCGACCCCCCATATATGTATATCCATACATATAGCTGCAATGTTAAAGTTTGCATTGCATGCCTGCGTGGGGGGGAGGGGAGTTTCGGGTCAACCTGTTGCCAGGTCAGGACCTCTGGGCATGGAAAGCTGCTGTAAACATTAGACAGGCTATCAATGCGGGCTGCGATATAGCGGGTTGTATAAGCAGGCGGCCTTGAAACGATAGTTGGCGTGGGCAGTGGGCGATGGGTGTTGCGTGGGTGGTGGTTGGGTGTTGGGTATTTAAGGGGTGGCCAACCCGGCATTGTTTGCATTGGCGCACGCAAATATGTTTGGCAGCTCCAGCTGGGGCCAAGGCACGCGCCGGAGTGCGACATTCGTGACGTCGCATCCAAGTCCCTGTCTTCCCAGGTCCACCACCTACTCCTACTCCGGGATCAGTCCGCCCGGCTGGCCGGCTTTGATTTATTGATTTTAGCCACGGCACACAGCATACAAAATGAGACAATATTTACTAGCCTCTGTGCTGGCCCACATGTGGCACCACCATGGCATACACTCAAAATCAGCGGAGTAACTTTTTTTGGAATTTCTTATCAATTATTTTTGAAAATAAATTAATAAAAGTAAATTTTAAGTAATTAAGATTATTTTACTTTAGAGAATCACGTTACAAAAATGATTTTTCGATTACTTTAGATTTTTAGATTTGGTATATCTTTTGTTTGCGAACGACACAATTATATAAAGTTATGTGATGCGTATATTCAACTATTTAATGGAAATTTATAAAAAGACTTTTTTGATATTAAGTTTTCAAACTTATTACTGCGATATCTTTCTATATTTCTGTTATCTTTATATATAACCAATCATTTAATTTTGACATCCTTCTTTCTCCATTAAAATGAAAGGGGTTCTGCTCAGTTTTTTTTGAGTGTAGCACAGCATCAGGAGGATAGAAAGCACGCTCGATATCAGTGTCAGACTTCCATTAGCCGAACTCCATCGCCCCCGTTCCCTCTTCTCCCACCCGCCAGCTGTTTAATAAGCCGCCGTATTTTAAATATGGAGCAGATGCACAGTTCCCGGATGCGAGTGCGAGTGCGGCTAGGCGGGCTCCATTTGGGGGGAAAATGACGCAAGTTCAATTAAATCAAAGCCTCAGCATATTTCTTACCCGCTAGACAGTTCCGGCGCCAGACGCCGTCTGCTGGCGGCAGTGTCTGCAAGTAGAAATGGAAGACGAATTAAATTACATTTAAAGCGCAGGCTGCAAAAAACCCAAGAAGAATGGATGGAAAAATAAATTGGCCAGCAAAGAGGGAAAAAATGAAAATCATGGAATTGATGTGGGGAAGCCAAGAAAGAACTAAACTGATACAACCTATACGACTGCTCAGATACACTCGGACTCGGGATCACACAACATTATTGCTGGGACCATCAACAAGTGAGTGACGGCAACAGACTCACCGTGTAATATTTTTATAAAATTATTTTTCCGCCGGCAGGTTATAAATTGAACTCCTCGCTCCATAATCCCGACGCTCAATTGCTGAAATGCTTATCTGCTTAAGTGGCAAACGAATATGCCATTCATTCGGTCGTATCGTGATTACAGAGCGCATAAAAAGAAGCCGACAAAATGTAAGAAATGGTGCCAATGAAACGAAATAAAATCGGCAGCAAAAAAGAGAAAAGGAAAAGAATGGAATAAAAAGCTGGAAAAGCTCCTCCTGCATGCAAGAAAAAAGGACCATGTGGGCGGCGGCGGTGGTGGGGTGGCCGAATCAAAGGCACAGCGCCAGTCCCGGAGATAAGTAAAGAGAGCAAAATTAAATTGGACATTTATCAAGAGATGCTTATTGATGCCCGAAGTGCCAAGCAGCCAGGCAGTCAGCACAAACAGAGCAAACACAAACACACACACCCGAAGTCAAGTGGGCCGGCAATGTCGCTCAATTATTGTTTTGAGTGAAAAACTTTTATTGCCCGACAACTGGCAGAGGAAAGGTCGAGCTCGACTGAGAAGTGGTGCAATTTAAATGTAGCCCGAGGCGAACAAACGACTGGGAGACACGCGAGCATAAATTAAAGTCAGATCCCCAGGAGTTCTCAGATGCCAGCTCTTAGGCCGGAGTGGCCAATCCTCAGACACTGACTCATCCCCCGGCACTGGGATCAGCCACTAATTACGGCTATTAGTGGGGCCAACAACAGGAGCGCCAGAAACAATTACGAGCCATTTAATCACCTGCTGAAAATGTAATTATGCTGCATACTTTTTCGGGGAAGAGCCTTCCTCGCCTCACAATGCTCCCCCCAAAAAGTTCTCCACCACGAGGAAAAACAGAAAAACAAATCCAAATCGCCTCCAGTGTGGAGAACATGAAATGTTGCCAACGCGATTTAGAATTTATTGCATGAAATTAACTTTTGCAAAATAATTCACATAACTTCGGGGCGTGCCGAAGGGCCGGCCGAAGTGGCTTAATAAAATAATTTATGGCCCAGGCCGAAGGGCCATTTCAGTTGGCCACCAACGACTGCGTCGCAGCGGTTGCCAGTTTCCCACTTGCCCACTTGCCACGCCCCTGATGTCCAGCCAAGCGGATGAAACAAAGCAAATTAATTACGAGTCAAAGCGAAAGCCTTTGGCTCAACTTTCGCAACGCACCTTAACACACACACACAGCCGAAATGTGTGTAGGCAATGCCTTTATCAATATCCCTTTGACCAGGCCGCCGAAGAAGAAAAGCAAACAAAGTCTAATCAAATGCGACAGCAGATGCCCGGTTGTTTCCCTTACACTCCCCCTTGCCCCCTAAAGAAGTCTGGGTGTTCGGCGATGCGTGGCTAATGTGGCAAAGGGGCAGGGCCACGCCTTCCTTTTGACCATTTGATGGAGGCTGATCCGGCTTTTTCACCTACAACCCCCCACCCCCGGGTTGAATGGGCCACTTTTTGCTCAGTGATGCGTTGAGTGGACTGAATCAACAGCTGCCAAACGTTCGGAACGCAAATTTATAATGTCTTAGTGCCATTCCCACGCTTTTTATCAACACATTTCACATGTCATTAGCCAGGAGATAACATCTCCTGGGGTTGGGGAATACATATCTCTGAGCAGTGGGATATTTCAATCTTTGCCTGGCAATCGACAGCCTTGACAGCTTGGCATTTTGTTTGTTTATGAGGCTCTAATAGAAAGCTTTTAAATTAAGAACCAGCGAAAGGGCGACGCGGTGGGATCCATTTGAAATATTAACAAAGGACACAGGTGACGGCGACAGGACTCACCGGTTTTTCATCCAGCCACACTTGAGCTGACAGTGCAACATGTGCACACTGCTCGGTGCACACTCCACGTGCACGCCACAGACAATTCCGCTAAAAGCTTCACACCCGTGGACAGTTGCGGGTGCCAACTCGGAGTCAAATTAAACGCTCCTCCAACTCCGGATGCTCCTGCTCCGCTTCCTGCCCATCCTGCCACTGCACACTCGAAAAACGCTCGAGGAGACGGGAGTTTTATCTTTGCCACGCCAGCCGCAGCAATGCGGCTAAGCATCATAACTCACGCCGGGCATCCGTGCTCGTCACTCAAGGAGCGTGAAAAACCTGCCAAGATGCCGAGGAGTCAGCCCGAAGAGTCCTGCCTGCATTATGCAGTTGTCCCAAGGCGCAATGGCTATGCACTCGGGGAAAAATAGGGTTCTAAGTTACTTGTTTCCTTTTAAATATTAAGAACACTTTTGATCAGACCATGTAAATCCCTAAACTAAGGTATATGTATACCAAAACACTATCTCACAAAGGAATCTTAAAACATTGAAATTTATCTATGAGATTTAATTATAATCTATAAAATCTGTGATCCTTATTAATATGCAATCAAAACAAAATGTCCTTAAAATTAATTTTTGATGTATTGCTGTATTCTGTTTTTAAAGTAACAGAATAACATCTTCTCTTTATATATATTTTCCGAATTTACTGATTTTAGTATATGAGATACCTTTTAAGAACACATTCAGTTACTGATTTCCATAAGGTTGAAATTATTATAGTTCAAATTAGGCGCCATGGCCGATATTTATTTTCTAAGTGTAGGGACAGCATCTGCCGTTGAATGCACTTAACATGTTGTACCACAAAATCGTCCGCCATATGCCGTGCATATTAATTTGATGGCACTCATATTTATGCCAAAGCAAAGCCAAAGCCAAAGCGTTTGCTGCTGCCGCAGTTGTTGCGACATTTTTTGACAAGTTGCAGTCAGTGTCTCGCTGTCGCCGCTGCAGCCGCACATTTGCAATGCAAGGAGCAGATGGTGACACTGTTTTGCATATGGAAGAAGGACCCCGGCGAGCAGATGGAACTACAAAAAAAAAACAGAGGAGCTGCCAAGCTGGCAATAGACAAACAAGACCCCGAGAACTAAGGACAACTGTGACTCCGACCGAAACTCCAACTCTGAACTGCCCGCCTCGCGATTTTTTCCCTATTTTTCTTGCGGGTGCATTCCACTTTAATTATTTCAGCAATGTTGCTGCTGCTGCCGCTGGTAACGACATGAAATTTACATACGCAATTTCATTGTTGCCGCAGGATCTGGCGGTCCTTCTCGCCCATGCCCATTCCCTTGCCCCTGCCCCTGCACCCCGCAACCCGCCCTTTGTCAATCCCACAGCATAACGCATTTTATATTCAAATTTTTTCGCTGCAGTCTGGCGACCAGGACACTGCACATTCTATTCGCAGTTTGTTGGCCCTGCCCTGCCGATCCCCCAGAATATATATATTTTTTCTAGTTTTTTGGCCCCTGGATTGTTAGACCCCGGGCTGCTTATGTGTCCGTAATAATCAGTTGCAAGGGATGTTACAGAAAAGAGTGCAGAATTTACTGTCGATTTCACAGGCATTTACCCAGTCAGGCCAAGTAATGGTTATAACCAGCTTTTATGCGAGGCATAACACCATCCATGCTGACTCGCGGAATGGTTTTGTTCAAGAACCACCAGATTTCGCTTTGCATATGAGGAGGAATTCCTGGTGCAGACATTACAACCCAGGAACGAACTAGTTACCCTGCGGAGTGTGGAGTGCCCTCATGGACCTTATTATGCATGTTATGCACAAGTTATTTTTTCCATTTCCGCGCCATGTCATTGCACGCTTAAGCAGCAAATTGTCTGATGGCTTTTGAGAAACTCACTGGTGGGTCCTTTTCTTTTTGTTGTCCAAATGTCAACAGCTTTTAGGCCTCTTTGCTTTGCGCTGTTAAATGTAGCGCAATAATGAGCCGAAAATATTTGCATTTCTTTGGCCCGCACCAAATGCAATAAACTCTCGAAATAAAAGCAAATAAAAAGTAATCAGAATTTCAGATTCGAGGCGTAATAAAGCAAAGAAGACTAAAAGGAATTAAAAAGTGTGCTAAATAATTCATTTTTGAATTAAAATATAAATCACTTTCACACCATTTTGTCGACGGACATCGGGTGTAGACCCAGTTTTTACTGCACGCGGTCCTTTTTTTTCCAGGACACTTGTTTATTTTATTACTTTTTCGCCGAGTCGAGGGATTCGAGGGATACAGGACACAGAACAGGAAGCCATGCAAATGAGCGACCTACCCGGGCATAACGAAAATCTTTTTAATATAAAAGTGAATTACTTTTAGCAGCGATTTCCGAGTGTGTCCTGCGCCACGCACCCAAGCCATTAAAATTGACGAACTGTAAAGGCAGCGGGAGCAGCAGGAGCTTCACGCCCCTTCTGCTGCCACACCCATAAACGTCCCGGCAGGTCGCCTTGGGTTATTAGGCAGCTTATTATCGGACGCATCAGCGTGGCCAGGGCATCATTATCGAGTGCTTTGCGGCTTTCCAGGGTCCTTTGCCGTCCGGCTGGCGAAAGTAATTTCAGTATCCTTGCGCATTTTTTTAATAGGATTGTGTTTGGGGAATTACCTGTAAGGGAGTGAGCGGGATCCTTTTGGAATAGCAGTTGACCGCAGGCAGCGGAAGCGAGTAGATGGCAGAGCGGAAATGAAAACGGCAATGGGCACTTTTAATTTCTCAAAATGGCAACTTACTGACATCCGTTGCCCGTTCGATTCATTGATTTAATGCAGAGCAACAGCCCAGTTCCCGGCTTCCTTTTCCTTCATTGGCAGCTTAAGAATTATTGAGACTTGTTGCAAAAGTTCATATCGTG